CCAAATAAATCTGCCCTACTTTAAAATAGGTACAACTCGCATGAAAGTTTGTAACTGAATACACTAATTAAGTGCCTGTATTGTCCAGAGCTTTTAAAATATTTACCTGGTAGATGTTTTGATTGCATTACTCATGACCTCATGTCAAAAGAATGTCACAAATTACTTTTTAACCAAATATATAAGTCTGATTGTTGTGTAGCAAGCAAGCTAGAAAGGTAGGTACTGGCAACTGTTTTATCACCTTCAGCTGAAGACACATGACTATAAGACTGAGTTCTTCTATCTAGATTTCCCATAACAGAAAACATGGCTATCAGTATTTATTTATTTAAGAGAATATGACGTGGCAAAATAGATGGCAACCGCATTGCCAATTTTTACAGCATTTCCCATAAACTGATCCAAGAAAATGCCTGTTTTGACACAATCAGTAGTGTTTTCAATAACTGGAAGACGAGACACAAATTACCTATCTATCATTTTTTTTTAAATTCCAGTCATTTCTATCCATACAGAATGATATTAATGGATCCATACCAAAAAACACATAGTGTTATGTATTTAAATTTCAATTAGAAACCATTAAATATGATTCTGTTGCCAACCTGTTAATATCATTGACTCTCAAACAACTACTGCCTTCAACTGATATAGACTAAACAACACAGCAAAAAGAACAGTGATTAGAATTTACTGTCCATGAAAACATTATTGGCAGGATAACAACCACATGGCTAACGTAGAATGGTGATGAAGCAGAATCACATGGAATAAAATGGCTACAACAGCAATACTGACAAACTAACTACCTGTCATTATATTGATTTGCTTCTCTCATTTCTAAATATTAGCATTTACACCTGATATTTATTACATCACAACAATTCACAAAATGCTTTCCCATGTGTCATCTTTACTTGCAAATGATATGATTGAATTTGTTTGATGATCCTTTCTCTTGGTAATTAACTTAGTCTATAATTTCTGTAACAGTTACATAATTTCTGTTTGTCAGCAACATAACACATTCTATGGACTTATATAATCAATTTTACCTACCTACACGTACCTCCCCTCTGACTTCATTGAATTATGTGAGCCATAAGCCTTGCAACATATCTACCCAGGCCTTTCCAAATTATATGTAACCAATGGAGAAGATCCTGATAAAATCTCTTACCTTGGTGTGAACAGTAAATTTGACCCGATCCCTCTCACTCAGGGCATCTGAGATGTCAATGCTTAAGGTGTCATCTTTTGTAAGATCCACACTCTCTGTCCGTGGCTAGAAAGCAAAAAAAAAAAAAATCAATCAAAACATGTGCTTCAATGTTGTCACGTCTACATACATTTACCTCCACACTTGTAATTTGGTACATAAACAACAAGAATGTTGCCATCCTAAAATTTACATATTTACTTCACAAACACCATATACTGTACTCATATAGCAGACAAAGGCTAAGGTCCTTCAGGCATTTTTGGCAGAAATTTGAAAGGAGGCCAGGAGGCTGTGGCTTTCTGCATGTCAAATATGATGATATAAATATTGGTAAGACAAAATAAATATTCATTTTGTAGTTCCATATCAACATACTGACAGTGTAACAAAGTTACCACAATTTTCTCAAGAAAAAAAGTGAACCTTCTTCTTAGCATGGAAGAAGTCACATCTGCAAGGTTTGTTTGGACTTGAGTGATGCAAACTTCTGACTTTTGTTATGTGCTAAAGGTTGGAGTTTCAGAAGATTGGAACAGCATGCATTTCCACATGCAAATTACTTCATCTACCTTTCTGTGCATATATGTGCAATCACCCCACATAACACCTTTGTCTACGAGCTACGTACATTTATATTATATAGGATGGGTTAATCCATGTACAGAGATCACTTTAGATATCCAAAGTATTACCTATGGATACCTATGAAGTAATAGAAGAGACAGATATTACATTAAAGCTGGATAGAGCAAGTAGCAAAATGACATCCATAGCTTACATCATATGATGGGGTTTCACTCTTCACAGTGCAAGCAGGAAGAAACAGGTGAGACAGAAGGTCATTACACAAGAGGAGCAAGGTGCTAAACCACACGGTTAACACAGTGGTGACAGGTAACAAAGAACAGGTGACCAACCTATACAAATACTCAGGTGACACAACTCAGCAGGTGGGGGAAAGTGTCATATATTCACCTGATCAGCGGAATTCAACTAACAATTTGTAGCAAAATTTTGAGATGCAGACCGGTTACAGGAGCACCGAAACCCTCTGAAAATGAATCACGAGTCGATGTTGCTCTCCAGTACAAAGATGTCCAATAAACAACTGTCTTTGCTCATCTTCTGGCATGTGCTACGAACAGGAAGTGGGGAGGGGCAACTTCCTCTCGGCGAAACAACAATCCAGTTATGGCATAATGACCGTCTATGGACGTCCTTCTATTGTCAACTATCCGAATCAAAAGCTACTTTCTTTAGTGAGACTTCTTCTTCGGCCTCGGTAACGCCCCTTACATGGCCAACGCTTTGAAAATATGCTGGAAGTTTGCACAGGGGTGCAGGCCACGGTGGCCCTTGACCTCCCCGCTATGCTCTACGGAAAAGACGGCTCAACTGTACCTTGTTTTCGTCTTCAGCCAACAAGTCAGGGCTGTCATCCAGTCCGTCCTGTGTTGAGGAAAAGTAGACGTGAGTAATTGGAAGGATTCATGACACAGAAATAGCGGAAAAAAATAAAGAAAACCACGACTCCCACCCACCATCATGGCGCCACCTCTTCCCAACTCTACTCGTCACGTGATGATGTGTGTATGTGTTGCACACCGTCGTGCATTGTGGGAAGAAATCGACACTTTGACAACACCGAGCCATGTGACCAGCACGGTGCTTCAGAGGCTCCTCATGGTATTGGACAGTCATCCTCCAGTCACTGGCGTCGGAATCCATCTGCCGCGGATTTCAAACTGAATATGGAGACTGGTGAGGGGCGTTCTGTAAAGTTCTTGGACTCACCTACATGGGCCGGTATGTTAGGGCTAATGTAAAAGACTGCAAGCAAGAGAAGCCCTGCAACAGTCGCCGCGGCTAGGGCCACAACTCAATTTTCTGGCCTTTTTAATAAGAAACCAAATCTCACATCATTGTGATCATTACATTGCAGGCGACGCCCTTATGAAAGTTACATTCCATGTTCCTACATCCCTCTGTTTACTTCGTCAAAGGGCACCCTTCCTCCTACAGTACTCTACTCTACTCATAGGGAAGGGCGTGTCAAAATATTTTTTTAGGTAAATCGCCTATCACTCTACGTGCATTTGTTTTAGCCTCATTTACTGATTACCCTAAATACATGTACTGTCATATGTAAAGGCTTTCATGCACAGTTATGTACCTCTCTAGTGTATGTAAATGTGATAGCATAGAAGATGAAATGCATTGTGGATTGAGCAAAACAGAAGCAGAAGAAATATGACAAAAAACTCAACATCATCAAACTTTTATTGATGTCACATGTTGGTTTGACAAAGATGATTACACCAACAGCCCTACAAAAGTGAGCCATCACATAATTATGCTGAATTTCAGCAATTACATCTGTATACATTCAACTAGTCAAAGGATCATCCCACAGAAGCATGGAAATATACTGATGGTTATTTTCTAAATGGATAGGTTCGCTTTTCTTGACTGTAGTTTTGTCAAATATGAGACTTGTTTCATGCACCAAATACAGCTGAATACTGACATATATTTTTCATATACATGTAAATATGGAGTGAATTTCCAAATGGTAGTAATTATTATGACAAACTACTTAATGGCTCAAGCTAGGGGGATTGATACAAAAGCAAGAGTAGTGACAAAATATTAGACACAAATGGTATCAGTACAATAACAAATAACTCAATAACAAAATATAACAAAGACTATTCTACTAATGTTTCAAAATGACAGCTGCATGCCCGTCAGTGTTTTTATGTTAATACAAAATGCGTAACAAATAATAATGTTGATACATGATGTGACAATACATTTGCTTCCAATAAATGAAGACACACAACTATGAACTGGTGAGATTTGTTTGTTTCCCTCCAAGACAAAACTGACCAGTGCCAGAAACACTGTCCTAAATGTGATAAACAGTACTTACCAAAAAATGTAGATAGAAAAATAACACTTTACAAACAGCAAATTTTACATGTATGCAACATGGCCACATAATTGTTGTCACTAGTGTTACACACATAACTGTAACATTTAGCAATTCTGCAACATTCGTACATACATATTAGCCAAGCCTTCATCATCCCTCATGCCTTGAATTCATGTTACAATGCACTTAAACCTTTTACCTTCAGTTCAACACTTGTTCCCATCCTTACTTGAACAGTTTTATTCATGGTACCCTTTCTAAAGAAAATACCACCCTTTGCAACCTCACAAAGCCTTGCACAATATCTGACTGGGTTGGCAGCAAGACATGTTCAAACATAGCTGCCATAGGCTCACCAGAACAAACCTACTGGTACATGTATATACAAACTCTACTGCATTATTGCCAACACTTTAGTTCCAATGTAAATATTCTCTCTAACTATGGGATATCGGAAATATTATACAATTATGACATCTTCTTCACCAAATCCTCCATTTCAAGAATCCTCATTTCCTGCTTAGAAAGGTATCTTCATTGACAAAGGAAATGGTTGACTGAGTAGCTGCCTTCCTATCCCTTCACTTTCATGAAACTTTGGTTCCATACACCACTGGCACATCCGCAACAAACCTTTTTCAAAGGCAGCTCAATGTGAATTGGTCAGAGTGTATAATATAGCATACAACAACCTTATTAATCCTTATTGGTACTATCATTACAAAGACGATAGGAAGAGCTTTTCATCAAAATAGTATCCTGATTAAATGCCTCAAAGATCACAAGTCTCCTGAGTGGGTTAACTCACTTGACCTATTTTGCTGCTAAGGCAGATCCTACATTAACAACATCAATACACTGATAATAAGGCATTAGAGAAAGACTATTAGGTTAGAGTTTGCCTTAAATTGCTGTTGCAATGGGCTGGAGCAATGTTATCGTATATGCCTCGCAACATGTGAATGCTGCTTTGACAATAGTGTAACAATTGGACGTGTACAAAGTGGAAATCACAGAACAGTAATTCTGAGTAGACTGTGTCACAGTTTGAAGAGCTGTTGCCACCACATCAGTCCTGCATCTCCTCAGGCATGTCATGTGGGTTGATGATGCCAGGCACAGCCAGCTGAACCTTGCGCTTCTCTTCCTCGGCAGTTTTGAGAGAAGACTCGCGCTCCTCAAGGTACAGGTCAGACAGGTCTTCACCCGCAAACTCCTGCAGGACAAGATCATCCTGGTTATGTCACTGACACTTACACACATGAAGGCAAGGCCTACATGTAAATCCTTTTTAATAAGCACTTTCTGACATCCATGTACTGACAACCATTTTGAGATTGCTGTGTTAGATATTACAGTGCTACAGGACAACATCTGTGTACTGTTTGCGTGGATGGGTCTTGAGTTGGTTTGTCCTACTAAGTGTAGTATTCATATATACATGTGAACCATAATAATAATGAACCGTTCTTGGATGCGTGTGTAACTTACATACCGATATGTAACTTCAAATTCACAAATATTGCAGAGCCAAGATTGTGAAATTTTAATTCTATAACAGCCACACTTGCCTTGATCTGCACAAGGAAGTCTCTCAGATGTTCCTTGAACTGTGGAATATCTTGATTCAGACTGAAGAGGCCTGTTACAAACACCTTGATTTGTGCCCTTGGGAAAAAACAACAACAGATAGTTACTCACAATGCAAAGGTTAAGTTTATGGAGAAGAAAAATAGAATTGTAAATTTAGGAATCAATCAAAAAGGTACATTATGAATATATAGATAACCCTACCATTCAAAGCAACTACATAGATTCAATAACAATAATAATAATAATAATATCAAACTTACAATCTTATATACACGGGGAAACTTACGTTTGCAGATGTGGGAATGCTTGGCTTAACAAGTTGGCTGTAAAACCCTGTGTGGTAGTCTGATGAGGGCAAGAAAATAGGTAAGAAACAGAACAAGAGTCTGGTTGTAAGAAAATGAAGGAAAACTAGGATTGGAAAGAAGGTTGTACACCACATTTTCAACTCAACAAAAAATATCAATCCTGCCTTCACAAAAACAGAAATGAGGAAAACAGAGGGTCATACCACATTCTCTGAGGCTTGTGTCTCGGCCTTGAGTGGCACCAGAACCTTCCCTTGCTCCACCAGGCTGAACATGTAGGCAAGGATGGTGGCATGCATGGTCAACCCTAGACATGGGAAGAACATGTCAAGATGAGCAAAGACAAACCAACACAAAAACTTAAACTTTGTCAAGTAGAGGCCATCTGTAGGTTTGTGTAGCCTGGCTGCCATCCTGGTTAGTTTATGCCTGCTCCTATAATCAATCCACTGACCAGGATGGTACCCAGGCAGAGGTTTTGGTAGAGTCCTTCTATTGACTTTCAAAATTATTTATATGTTAAGGCACAAGGTACATGGATTAAAATAAAATCCCTTCACACTCCAGTAGGAGGCCGAGGTAGGAACTGTACAACTCAATGTTAAAGGACAAATCCAATACTTTCAGTTTTTGGGCCTTTCTACCCAAAATCCTATTTATAAATGGTGATTTATTGGTTTCTGCCAACCCCGCACATATTTGCGGTTATATCTGACCCGCTCGATGTTCCCCGGCTAGCGCCCGATTGTCCGCTAGGCGGCGCAGCGACTGTAGATGTGACGTCACCGTTACCATTCTGCTACTAGCGAAACAATGGCGGTCGCGTCTGTGGACCTGGATCGGCCGTGAAATCCTTCCGTTTTGAGCCACAGACAGACAGTAGTGGTGACTCTGACCCCCGATCCAGGTGATGAGAACGGTATGATGGAGGTGATGTGGAGACAGAGCGCTGGAGGTTGGGCAATCGATGTAAATAAATTTGTCAAAGTGTTGAGTGAATTGCAACGTAAACAAACCGCGGTACCGACCGGCTCCTGCACGCCCTGCCGGATCAGATCCCAACGAAAAATCAGCAAAGTTCGGAGGTTTGCCGGATGGAGAATCACATCGAAGTCAGGGTGGTTTCTAATGCATCGGTGGTCTGGACCGACGTTCTTTTTTAACAGTGTCTGGCAGGTCGTGGCAACAAACACTCTCCCGTACAGTGGGCATTTCCAGGCAGTTTCCACAGCGGCACCAGTCCCGGTTCCCCAACCTCCAGCGCTCTGTCTCCACATCACCTCCATCCCAACTGTTCTCATCGCCTGGTTCGGGGTCAGAGTCACCACTACTGTTTGTCTGTGACTCAAAACAAAAGGATTTCACGGCTGATCCAGGTCCACAGACGCGACCGCCATTGTTTCGCTAGTAGCAGAATGGTAACGGTGACGTCACATCTACAGTCGCTGCGCTGCCTAGCGGACAATCGGGCGCTAGCCGGGGAACATCGAGTGGGTCAGATATAACCGCAAATATGTGCGAGGTTGGCAGAAACCAATAAATCACCATTTATAAATAGGATTTTGGGTAGAAAGGCCCAAAAACTGAAAGTATTGGATTTGTCCTTTAGGAACATAACTCATGGGTAGTTAGCTAAGCATTAGTTATCTCAACCCGTCTCCTAACACCCTCCATCATTGCAGGTGCTTGTATATATAAGACTTGTAACCTCTCAGCAAGCATACATTGAACACACATGTCTTCTGCTTCTAATGTCTTTGTCATCACAAGCCATGGCAACTGTAACACGCAATGAGCTTCACCTCATCCAGCCACAGTAACCATAAAAACTGAGCAAAAAACTGCATTCATTCATTCATCCAACCAACATCTGTACACAAAGTGGCAATGTCACCTTCACTACCTCTGCACAGAATGCTGCCACTCAAGACGGAACACTTCACGATCTGACCTTGCCTATGGAAATACCCCTGCCTACTTGAATGCCTTTTATTTTAGCAGCATGCTGTTTTAGCATGAATGTAAACTGTGCTGTTCATGGCATTCTATTTTCTCCAAAACTGGAGGAAAGAGAGGATAGCTTCAGATTGTTATAGTGCCTACGCAGGCTTGGGCAACTTTCTATAGACAAGATCTGGTGGAGGCACCAGCTCTGCGTCGAAGGTCGGTTGTTCTGCTCGGTAACATGGGGTAGACACTAAAACAAGTTGTCAATAACTGAATAAGTACATCACACATCTGAGTCAGAGTAGCATTGTCGTTTTCATCCTCCAAAATTTTGCAAATACAGAATAATTTAATATGCACTAATCTTTCCTGTACGTACATCTAATTTTTTTTTGTAAATGATGTATTTTGACAATCATATTGCTGATTCACAGAAATAATATTCAGGACAAAAAATCATGCAGGAGGGAATCATAAAAATCTAAATTAGTAACATCACACTTTATACAAAAATACAGAGGATAAAGAAACACTAAAGTTTGTTTGGAATGTTCTTTGTATCTTCTAGACGTTTCATAGAGTGCTTCAGGCTTCAATATTGCAGAGTTATCAAAGGTTGATGGGGATCACTTGTTAAAACATCAAAATCTTGCAGCATGAGCATCACAGTACTAAATCGGATGATGAGCTATGGTAGCAAAATGCAATTGTCATTTTGAAAAATTGCAGAGAAGTTTTCAGACTTTTACCAAGACTGCAACTCATAGGGAATCTTATTAATACCCAAGTCCCAAGTGCTGATACATACATATAATAATATTCGATACCAGGTAATACAGCAAACAAACTTGTGATATACATTGTATGCCAGGGCTTGAAATATGCACCATCTGTTATAGGTACTTTGGACACAATTTTGCACATGTACAAAAGTGAGACTCATGTGATTAAGTACCATTTAGTCGATTGTTAGGGTTGAAGTTGAGATCACAAATAAAAATTGATGAAATAAGATTTTGCCTTATAAAGAGAAAAATCATATCTCCAGCCATGCATATTTATCTAACAGTGTAGGTATGTAAACTAGGAGACACAAAATGTGTCAGGTTCTGTTTCAATGACTACTAAAATATCTCATTGGAACAGGTGCTATGCAAGCAGCCAGTCATACAAACACAACCATGCACAAACAACAGACAAGGATGCTCATACATATAGGGATTGTGTCACATTCTTTCAAGAGACAATCATCCACAGCAACTACTGGAAAGACACATGCATTAGAACTATCACCATCCCACCATTTCGAGGGATGTTAGCGTTTCTGAAGCACCTTACAAGTGAATCTTCCAGAGGCAATGCAAACCCCATACAGCAATTTCCTCTTGTATTTATAGCAGCAGACTTTCACTATGAAGTAGTTGGGGGCAGTATCCATTTTATTTACAACATAGCACTGAGGTCATTTACAATTTCACTGGATCGCTCCAATCATTCACATTAAAGTTATCATCTGAGTCACTGCAACTCCTTGGTTTGTTGTTATGGTACTAGTGCATCTGGACAATAGCAGAATGTCACTCTGACACAGGCACACTTTAGACTGCAGATTGCCATTGCTAAGGGAGAGGGTGGTGCACCCCCAGAGGTAAGTCAAATGACGAGGTTCATGAAGAGTCTGAACATGCCAGAGGCAGGTTCTTGGTGGAACCAGGAGGACCAGAGAAGATTACAGAACAGGAAATATACTAATCTATGAGACTGAAAGTAGGACAACTAAAACTCTGCATCTACTTCGAGCAACACCTACTGATATTGATTGCAAACAACTAAATGCACACATAAAAGACAAACATCTTATTATGGATGGAGCTCCAGACTTTACATACCTGCAGTGTGGGAAGTGTCTGTTACCACTGAGAAGATGTGCTGCAGGATGTCGAAGTAGTATGTCTGGTAGAAGGACTGGGCAGCACTCTCCTCCTGAGACACATTCTGTAGCAGCTGGTACATGATATGCAACCCTGCAAGAGGGAAAAAGTTATTAGTCATAAACAAATAAAGTAGCATCTCACACCAAATCCAATGTAAAAAATGCTGAAGCATCAAACCTTGCAATCAATTGCATAAAACTGAATATCCTGAACCTAGGAGATTTATGACATGGATTAAAAACAAGTGGGGATGAGACCTTACCTGTGTCTGCAACATTCCTCATGGTGTGTTTAAAAGCCCAGATGATGGAATCTAACACCAGCTTGAACTGAGCAGGTGGAATGTTCAGGAAGGCTGAGAAACAATGGGTATTAACTGCTTGTAGAAGTAGGAAAAAGTTGGTCCTGTGGTCAGGGTACTCCTCAAAGTCCTGTTAGGAACAGACATAACCATATTATAATTAAAATTACAGATCATATGATACTAAAAAGTGGACAATTCATTTAAAGCAACACAGCTAATCTATGCTCTGTGCCATGTTCCTCTTCAGATTTTACATCAGTAAAAGCAAAATTGCCCATATCAACAAAGGAAAGCACCATCTTATGTCAACTTACCTTGTTGATCATTTCCAATGTGCACTCAAACACTGCATCAAAGATGTGTGGAATCTGTGTGGTAATATGGGCTTCCAGCTTGTTGACAATGGTTGCCATGGTGCTCAATACCTCCGGCTCCCTGGCAGCTGGCACGTTTCTCTGGTAGTCAATCAGCACGGCATCCAGCAGTGGAGGAACAAAGTTCTCCAGCACCATGGTGGGGTCTGTGGACTTACTGACCCAGCCTGAGATCAGCTTCAAAGTCTCCTTCTTCACTGTCCTCATGCTCTTTATCAGGGGCTGCTTGGTCACCATCTCACCTGAGGATAACGCGGATTGTTAGTACCCTATTCTGCTGCAGCTCAACAGTGACATGTAAATGGTCTGTCTACATGGCTCTACCTCCTGACACTACCTCCTTCTGCTATATTCTTTGAATACATTACCACATTATTTATCATGAAAACTTTTTCAATATCACAACAAATGTATTTCCTTCTAAAAACAGAGATTTGTTGGCCATTTTTCTACATAACACAATTTTACTCTTTTCATTTATGTCCTCAGTGACCTCTGGATTATATGACTACAAAATCTTGAGAAAAGTAAAGGAACCTTGCAGGCAACTTACCATTTGCTGCAATTGCTCCTGAGATGTTTTCACTCATGCACTTGTACACATTCAACATGTCCAGGTAAATTCTACCAAGCTGGAAAAGAAACAACAACAGATGTTTCAGTTTTAAGAACAGTCTCAGAAATATAACAATAGGACCCTTTCAAAAAAATTAAGATGTTTGAGAAGATGCTTTATACACATTTCAGAAGTCATTGATAAGATCCAATTTCTATACAACATGCATTGCCAACAACAAACAAACATTAATATTATGAGGGTATTCAAGGGACATCTGTATATCATGATAATATGATTTAAGAAAGTTGTAAAGGTAACAGTCTACATACCTGTACTACAAAGGGATGTCCCACAGCCTTGCAGGCTCTGACATTGGTCTTAAGGATGCTACCAAGCTGCTTTACAACCTCAGGTTCCTTCAGTATGTCCACATTCTGCAGAAGAAAAAACACGAACAGTCCACTTTTTGTATGGCTAGGTCAAATCCACTTACACCCTCCAGACAATCTTTAAATTTGTTACAAGCTTTTTTCTTATTTCTTGGACATCAACCAAATTCAAACGTGGGGCGTCATCTATAAAATAAGCCTTGTACAGTGAAAACTAAAATGTAAAACATAAAAAAATGCATTTGGCTTGCTTTACGGTTTTACCTTGGTGGCTTGCTGGATGATGCCATCCCACACCTGGTTGGGAAGCAGCATGTACTTCTCTATCAGGTGTTCCTGCACAACTGTGTCCGTCTGGGCTCCAATCATGTACCCCACTGCCTCATAAAACGTGTGCACCTGCAGTCAAATCATAGGCCATTAGTTTGTGAATATTTTCTGCACTCCAAAATACAACACCTAATGAAAGTAGTATTCAAGCAACAAAGATGCACCAGTCTACAAAAACTTCTCTTTCTACAAAATATCATTGATTTTGCAAGCAAGGTATAATCTTCACTTTTCGTTCACTTTCAGCTTAAGAATAAAACTATATGTATCTTTCTTACCTGCTGTGGCTGAAGATCACAGATAATCGTGTTGATGTTGTTAAGAATCTCATCAATAAATGGCATGACCTCTCCAACTTGCACCTGAAAATAATACATTTGTAAGAATCAAGTGATGACTTCTCTTAATCATAGTTTTAAAAATTCAAGAAAAGGAAAAATAGAAAAGCAACGCACCTGCACAAAATGTCGTCTGCACTTCTGAGCTATCTTGATGAATGTATCACAGGCCATGTCCTGCACACCTTCGTGGGTTTCTGGGGAGGGAAGATCGAACATCACATTTTAACCATGTATCTCACAAGTTACAGTATCATTTCTCCTGAAACTTCAGAAACGGAGTCTGAAGAGTGCAGTTTTACAGGACAACAGCTCAATGAATGCCCAAAATCTCTTTAAAAGTTGGTTTGTAAAATACAAGAAAAAAAACAGAATTGCTCTCACCATGCATGAACTCAAACAGTTTATTGACAACAGTCTTGAGGAACTTCCAGTGAGCTCTCAAGAACCTGGGATACTGTCCAACAACATACATGATGTTGGAGGCAATGATGGCTTTGTTGTCTTTCCCTCTCTTCTGTTCACATAGACCCAGCAATTCCTGAAGAGATTAAGAACAGGACAGTGAGCATATTCAAGAAACACAGAGGAACTTTATGCCATATTGTGGAATACTTTATGTCAACCTGAAAATGGACTAACCTTGATGACAGTAACCAGGAATCTTTTCTCATCCTCCTCATGCATTGCCCCACTGATGGAGCCAATAGCCCAACAAAGCTGAAACAGCCAAGGGAGAACACATAAACAAAACAGAAGTATACAAAATACCCATGACAAGTAAAATCAAGATGGGTCATTTTTACTTAAGATTATACTGTTAACCTGTTGCATTTTGTGACTATAGCTATACCAACTATACTATACAAACTATTCCCTTACTGTGTTGAGGTTTTTCCATGACCACTCTGTTCCATCCACCTGCTTCTGCAGCTTTTCTGTCATAATCCGTTCTGTGTCTGCATAATCCAAGTGAGTCAGGTACACTGAAAAAGAAAACATTTGTGTCCAACAGTCCTCCTGTTAATCATGTCAAATAGTACTGTACTGCACCATGACATTAAACAGTTATTTTCAGATGAGACAAATAACTTTCCTTCATTTCTAAGATGAAATCAAGATTGAAACATCTACATAGTAAAATAAACATGTAATAAAGACATCTCATTAAGAGACATAAAAAATGGTGGGATATTTTAACCAAATGTGACTGGTGAGCAGGACCTATTACCTTCCTACCATCAGGCATAAATGCTAACCTAATGTTTCCCTCATGTTCTTGTACAGGTTGATGGAGTCTGTGTCCTTCATAAACTCCCTGACGACCTCTCCCTGCTCGTTCTCCACCACCAGCACCTCCTCAGGCTTGGCCATCCGACACACCATCACCAGCCTCACCTAACAGGGAGAACCAGGGTGGGAAATTGGTTTGTACAATTGCTGCACACTGGGCCATCTCGGTGAAAAATCACATTATGCAAGAAAGCTGGGCAACCTCGACTGGACAACCAAACTATGTAGTATGACAACCAGCTGAAACCATGAGATAGATGTTATTTTGTTAAGATGTATCTGTCTATAAAATAACTGACTACTACTTGGTAACATGGACAGAAATCTATCATCCTTCAGATGCAGCCCTACCTTTGAAAGCACCTGCAGATACAGCTGTCTACGCAGCGGGACTTCTGGCTGTTGGCCGCCCAGGAGGAGGGGAGAGGTGGTGGATGAGAAGGGGCTCTCCCTGTACAGGTCTGCTGCCAGCGTGTTCCAGTATTCAAGGCAGATCTTGAAAATTTCAATCTCATCCACCTCTGAGATCAGAACAAGGTAGTGCAGGGCCTGCAACAAGACATTAGGCCATGCCGATAAAATCATCTGTTTTCGTCAGCAGACGGGTAGATTCTGCTCTTCTGTGGAAAAACAACAAAGAACCCAGCATCAAGCATTACCACTTCCACATGCATGCCACCTGCAACTGCTTTTTACAGACAACACACCATTTTGTATATGCCGATGGACAGATGGCCTTTATTCAAGACTCTTCCACATCTTGCTTGTAAAGATGAACTGAGAACATCCTGGTATAAACAAAAGATAACTAATAAAAAAAAAGAAAACAGCTACACACAAAACCCTTCTGGCCAGCCCAGCTCTTACCTCCAGTAGGATAGGATGTAACTCTGGGTTTTTCTCCACTAGTTGCCCATGCTCCTTCAGGAAGGTGGACAGGAACAGGCTCAGGTTCTGGATGAAGTTCTGCTCATCATCTTTGCCCTGAGCATATGCTACTTTGATGTTTGTAGCTAGAGGCAGCATCTGTAGGATCAAGAGGCAAGGGCTAAATTCATTAGAAGCAAATGCAATAATAATCCCGAGTTTTGTCCAATCAAAGTAGGCAGGAAGAAGTGATTTAGTCATTCAAAAATTGTGGGGTCGTGTGGCGCAGTGGTAGCGCATTTGGGTCACACCCAAGAGGTCGCAGGTTCGAATCCTGCCCATGTCATCGATCTTGTGCCCTTGGGAAAGGCACTTTACACGACTTTCCTCACTTCACTCTTTCTTCATTTAGAAATGAGTACCTAGCTTTGGTTAGGGACGTCCCTCGGAAAGGACGTTAAATGGAGGTCCCATGTTTGTTGACAGCCACACCCTACGCACGTCAAGGAACCCACCGCACTTATCAAAAAGAGTAGGGGACCTTACAGTCTGGTCTTGCGCTGATGTACGTTGTACATGTACAAAACTGGTGTGTTATGGCCAAATGCAGTTTACTGGTTACGCGAAACAAACAAAAATGTAAACTTGCAAGAATTTTCTAACATTTTCTGTATTGTGATAGAATTTGCTGTTCCAAGAGCAACTTGTTTATATCAGACAATTAAATGAATAAATGAATGGTTTATTTTGTATGAAGGCGGTATATCATCAAAGGGTCAGAACAATTAATCTAGTACAGATCTTACTCAAAGGGAAGGCATGTGGTATCTTATAATCTCATCATATCAATGTCCTGAGTTAGTTTATGATTATATCACACAAAGATGTAAAACTGGAGATCCTCTAACCTGCTTAAGTTGCTGCATTGTCAGGGTGAACAGCATCACGAATTGGTCATCATACTGGCTCACATTTACACCAGCTGGAAAGACAAAACACCAATCCAACAATGCCTTCCTGATTTCAGATTGGACATGAAAACAGCTGTTGCAACCATGTATGACCTAACACAGAATAATCTCATCAATCACATACATTTGTAGGTCATAATTCATAATTGTGATCATATTTCTTATATTGAATGATCAGTAAGATTGGTGTTATGTTGAGGCAAAGTGTAGGCTTACAATAAGAAATGTATCAAACAGAACACAGAACACTGAACACAGTGAAGATATCGTGAAAGTTTCTTACCAATCTCAGTCAAGCACTTCATGGTGGTATTCCTGAACATTGGCACATTCAAGAACTAAAGACAGGAAAAAAAAATCATATTTAGTTAACTTTGACATCAACAACCACGCAGTCAAATCAGATATCAGAAACACAGGCCTGATGCAAGGACACAACAAAAGGTCAATATAGTATGATTTGGGACTGTAGTTAACTTAGTTACATTTGGATTAAGAGTACTGATTCAAAAGTGCACTTTTGCTCGAGGTAGAAATATATGGCGCTGAAATCACTACTTTAACATTTACACACCTTATATATCAAAGTTGAAATCAGTTTGGTCTCGAAAATGTAGCCCAGTGGAATCCAGTTGAGGAACCTCAGCAATGTTTCCAATGTTGATGCCACCAAAGGTGCATTTTGGGAGTTGTCCTGGAGAAAAAGAATGAAAATGACTGAAGAAATTACCTTTAAAAATTAGAATGATGCTAGCAGCTCAAAATGTGCACTTGTATTGCACTGCAATCTTGAATGCTTGAGGAATTCATATCTTTTTATCAAAGTATCCAAACGATTATTGTTAAAATATAAATGAGTGATCCCTTACCATGACAAACTGGCACAGTTGGAAGATCTGAGAAAATTCATTACACATGCTGCAAGGAAATGAAAAAACAACACAATTCATTAATCAGGCCGTGGCTACCAAGATGCTCTTCAGCCTCTCTACTACATTACAATAATCAAATCATATGGTATACATGTACACATATACCAGCAATGGTACTTTATTTATTAATTTGCTGCCCATGAAAAAGCAGGAATATTTATTTATTTATTCGTTCGTTAGGAATATTTATGCAGACTGTCTGACAGCAAATCAGCCATTAATCTGTGCTAATTACAGAAGGCAGTCATATATACCTATCCTTGAGATGTTTGGCCTTCACTTGTGTCATCTGCCCACTGGAGAAATCAAACACCTCCTCACTGCAGTCAAACAGAACATCTTTTTAACCAAGTTGAATTCACCAGTGTAACAACATTAATCTCTATATGCACCTTATGACTGTGATAACATCAGAAAAGAAAACCGTGCTTCCAACACAGTGCATAAACTATCACAGAACCAACAGACAGGAGTGACTTAAGTTTATATTTTTGATTTGAAATACAATCAAAATACTTCAGAGTTTCAGACTTTTGTCCACTTACCTGAGCAGCTTAAGGATGAACATGTTGTTTTGGCACAGAGCTTCATTGGTCTTGCTGGCACCGACAATGTCACTAATGAAGGTTGGCCAGTTCTTCGGCCACTCGTGCTTCAGAATCTAAAATGGAATATACCCACGTTAACACTATGGCATAACATCTCACTGACAAATAGTAGCCTGGTTTCCTCAAAAAGTTTAGCCACGTTCATTGCTCCAGGAATATATACCATGTCTCTTACCTGCACCAAGATGATGTTCAGTTTTCCAAGGTATGTTTTTTCTTTCTGCAGAAAAAAGATTAAGTTACTGTAAGAATACATATGTTACAATCT